AGCGTTACCCACCCACGATTGCCTGGCTCAACTGCCTTTGGTCGGCCCCTCCTCTCTGACGCTGTTACGACTAGCTGAGTCGTGATCTTGCCCATCATAAAGCCAGCTTCGTCGAAGTTGTAGACGTCCTCGTCACAGATGCCGTACTTAGCCTTTGTCTGCTCTACAAGCTCAAACCAGCTCTTGATTAGGACTGGATCTTCACATAGAGCTCTCTGCCTATCGTACGCTCGATTGAAACGCGTCGTAAGACTGTCTGTACGCTTGACAAAGTTGGCTGGCCGCTTCTGCCCAACCTGGCCAGCGCCGCGCGCAGCCAGCAGCTTATCAGCCATATCGCGCACAGCAGCATACGTGGGCGCAAATCCACGTAGATCTAGATCAAGTATATGATCAACTATCACCTCCTCTTCTAGCTTAGTGAGCTTCTTTGAGTTAGGCTGGCAATCGCGTCGAGCAGGTATACTAGCGCGTCGGCGGCGGATTGTTCGTTCAGACACGTTGTAGACAGCAGCAGCGCGATGATTACTTTGTGTTTAATGGAGATTAATAGAAGAAATAGCAAGCTAAATATCTGCTTCATTTAAAGCTAATTGAGTAGCGCTACGTTGAGCCATTGTTCGTTGAGATAGGAGAGGTGCGCAGGTTTGGTGGGGTGCGGCGCTCGCTTACCTGCGGCGCTCGCTTGCCACATACGTTACCTGCTAAAGTAATAATAGAAAGTGTATTAAGAAAATTCGGTCCGATAGTTCCGTGCCTTAACAAGAACTTTTGATATTCACCTCCGTACTGCGTCCACTATACACCGCCATGTCGAGTGTATTTTGCCCTGCCGATGAGCAAAAAGCAGACCAAATCATTCCTAGAATAATAGAATTTTAGCTAATCAGAATCTCCATTCTAGCTTCTTAGTATCGCTATACAGCGCGCAAATCAAATCTAGATTAATAAAAGAACGAAACGAACTCGCTACCTACCAGCCTGCACAGCCCAAAACCTACATAAAAAGAAACCTTAAAACGTCCTATAACTTATTTGCAACTTAAAATAGCTATATAGACGTTATTGTAGCTGCGAAGGGGGGGGGTAAAGCTTGTAACGATGTTACAACTTCGCCAAGTATTGAGCCAATCCCAGAGCCGGATCGGAGGAAGTACCTGCCGCCCTTCATCAGCCATTCGCCCGAGG